GTTTTCATTGCAACAATTTTTACTGATGGCATGTATCATTAAAGGCCATGTTTTGAGGTCCCCAACATGCAATTATATCTAGCCTGTACGAATCCTCTCAGCTACCACTATCAAGTCTAGCTGTGAAATAAACCATTGCAGTTTCTTACTGAGACTCCACCTATATTTTATTGGTACATCATGAGGCCAATAAGAGATGCTAATATTATCTTTATACTGTAGAGATTTTAAAGAGCCTCCTCAAGGATGAAGTTCCTTTTTTACTGGGACTTTCTTACATGTTAAATCTGCAAATGCATGGAACTGAAATTTACTACACCAGCTTGAATGACTGGAATTGTTTCCCACACCTGTAAACTGTAGGCCTGCCTCATCCAAATTGATACCTCCAGATGTGATTGGATTACAATGCTCATAATTCCAGGTGGAGGAAGACTAACTTAGGCCAAGGAGGAGAGTACATTTCTAGGGGCTGCACTCTCATTTCTTCAGAAATCTGAGTCATTGACAATGATGTCAACCGTGTGTGGTCATATGTATATTATAGATAACATGTCTGTTATAGATACTGACAAGGCCAAAGTTTTTCTCTCTTTTTAATTTGGGTGGGGTCAAGAAGGGATAGTATAAAAGGATTTATTTGGCTTTTTAAAAATGATATATGTTAAGACTACTCTACTTTAGGGCTTATAGTACACTACAGCTTTAATGGGTTCATGTCTCAAAATGGTAGGAAATAATGCTCCCAATTTTCAATAAGAGTCAGGGAAAGCTCTGGAGTGGGGTGAGGGCTGTGTGTGGCCTGAGATTAAAGATTCTCAATCCCTATTCTAAGCCATACAATAAATCAAGATACAGTAGCACATTATATGGGTTCAGATAGCGACCCAGGGACAATTCACTGATTTTGAAAAGTATTTAAGATTTTAGACACCCCCTTCTCCACGCTAGCTCCTGAAAGACACTTAGGAGGGCTTCTGAATGTCTACCCCATTGTGACAATAAAATCCCAGAATAGAGATTTCTCACCAAGCCCAGTCTTTATAAGAATTGCATGTTACAATCAAGCAACAATGTCCCTTCCATGCTTTAAGCAAAAAAGAACAGAAAATAATGCTGTTCATCCCTTTCCAATTAGGTTAAGTATTTCCAGAAAAGACCAAAGAGGCCCTGTGAGAGCCATGAGGACACAGGCAAAATAGATTTTCAAACAGTATCATTTGAGCTGCAGTAGATCTAATGTTAGATGAGAGATGCAAGAGACTCACTGAATGAGCGTCTAAGATCTGTATCGTCTGGGTATATCACAAACATAGTTGTTTAATGAAATAAAACTCCCCTGCCTGGAGCCCCATTTTTATGTCCTAATTTTTTGCACATGGCTTGGGGAATATTTGGTGATGAGGATGCATTTTTGGTAGTGGTAATGAATTAAGGATAAATATTTTAAGCTTAGACATTTCAAAATATATTGCCACGGCCTTCATATAAAATACACAGCTGGTAACAGCAGGAAAATTACCCCTCAATAATGTTTTAGATTAATGATGTGGCTGCAGGGTTTGAGGTTGCTGGTCTGCAGTCAAAGGCTCTATTTATCAAACTACTATGGGTTGATCAACATGCAATCTGCAGAGCTGCATGATCTCTGGAACCATGGAAGTTAGAGCAGTCATGAAACCGACTTCATCAGTTCTCTTAAGAGCCATCAGAAAACAGCCTTCTGTTTAAAGACATTCTTTTTACAGGAATGGGCAATTTTTTTTGTGGCTAGATTATTTTTTTTTCCTGCTTCCACAGGTCACAGTAAGGATGGCCACTGAACAGGGCAGCATCCCATGAGTGGGAACAGATGAACCTTTGGGCTCCTTTTTCCATTTTCGGAGGGAACCATTTTTTAAAACACAAGATAGCTTTAAAGTATGCTACTGAAGTATTTACAAATCTATTTTTTTTAAAAAAAGGTTTAAAACAATGCTACTGTTTTGCTGCCAAATCGCAGTGGCGTGGGGGCTGGGGTTAGATGCAGTCTGTTACCTGAGAGCTGCAAACTGGTGCTTTACTGAAGGGCTCTGACAGTGCAAATCTGATTTGAAAGAGAAAGAGACGAAAGGAGGAGCGGTACCCAGGGGACCTGAAGTAGCCCAAGCAGTCAGACCAGCCAGTTGAATTAAACACATACAACACTACTCACAATCTTCCCTGATGCAGAGAACTGTGGCAAACTTATTTAACAACAACCACCATTTCTAAATATGTATCTATACATATACTTTTATTTGATGATGCATTCCTTATTTTGGCCATATGTACACAGATGCTGTAATAGGAGTTCCAGTCATTCTACCCTGAAAAGGCCCTTTGCAGCATTTGGATGGTTCTAGTTATTGCTCAGAATGAGTTTAACTTCTATTGATTGACTGATTATGGGCCATCAGGTTGGTGTTGACTCTCAGTGACCACATAGATAGATTTTCTCCAGGATGATCAGTTTCCAACCGGGTCCTTCAGGTCTTCCAACGGTGCACCCATCGCCACTGTAATTGAGTCCCTCTACCTTGCTTCTGGTCGACCTTTTCTTCTCTTTCCTTCCACCTCCTTGCAGAGAACTAGGTCCTTATGCAATGTAGCCACAGCATGATAGCTTCAGCATGGTCATTTGTGCCTCAGGTGGGAACTTCATTTCTTGGGAAGTCTGAGTTCTGGCACTGACTGGTTGCTGTACCTGTTATCATTAGTTTGATCCACTATGTATTTAATCTTAGTCCCATTTTTTTCACTGTGTTCCTTGACTCTTATTACTAGAGCTAGCAGTTCATTTGCATTTTCAACTATCAAAGTAGTATCATCAGCATAGCACAGGTTATTGATGTTCCTTCCTCCAATTTAAAACCACACTCATCTTGCTCTAATCCAGCTTCCCTCAACATATATTTAGCATATGGGTTGTATAAATAAGGGGAGAGCATACCGCCTTCTCTCACTCCTTTGCTGACCAGTAGCCATTCTGTTTTCATCAAGTTACGTCTGTACTGTGGCTTCCTGACCTGTGTATACTGTACATTTCACACGAGGACAAAGAAATGTTCTGGAATTCCCATTCTCCTAAGCACATTCTGCAGCTTGGTGTGGTCAAGCTTTCTATAATCAATGAACCACATGTGGGCTTCTTTTTACTATTCTTTTTCTGTCTCAATTATCCAGTCTGCATTGGCAATATAAGTGAATAAGCATTGGTTATTTGAAGGTTTACTTGTGGAAAGATAGAAACTATTACTGTACAGCAAGATGTGGATGAATGTCTTGCGCCTTTGAGAGGTTGATCAATGCATTGGTTATTGATCCACACCAAGGGTGCCTCTTTAGGTTTCAGGAAAATAACTTTGGCAACAACTGATGCCCTCATGGCTTTGGACCATTGTGGAAGTCAGAGATACAGACACTGAGTCACTGAGAGCCAGGTAGCATACAAGTTTAGTAAATTATTATTTTCAAAGCAGGACTGCACAGGATCTGCAACAAGTAAAAATGCAGGGGCTATCCACCTATGTAAGAACTCATATTTCATGCATTCATACTATTGCTATTGCAGTTACTGCAGATGCAAATTGTACTAAAGTCAAGATTTGATTCTATAAATCATGTGCATTGGCTCTGAATACTTCACTTGACACTGGAGTATTGCTCTTAAATCAGTTTATTTTTTCAACTTTCTGCACTTGCAATGCTATCAGTTTTTTTTAAGACACAGGACTGTGACTATGATGGGAAAACACAGTTTTCCCAGGTTGTTTTCTACCCCCTTTCTATAACATGTTACTTCTCACTTCACATGACTATGTCTTATCATAGATTCTCTGCCCTGCTCTGCTTTTGGCTGAAAGCAGAGAAATAAATACAGAATAATATAACATATAATAAGTTCAGATATGCACCGAATTCATAACTACTTATATATCCTCAAATGTTTGACATGAAATAAAAAAATATTTTGGAATAGTAAATACTTTGGAATAGAGAGCCAGCTTGATGTAGCAGTTAAAGGCGCCAGAGACTGTAACCCAGGAGACTAAGTCTCACCGCAGGCACAAAGCCAGCTAGGTGATTTGGGGCCAGTCTCTCTCTTTCAGCCCTAGGGAGAAAGCAATGGCAAACCACTTCTGAAAATCTTGCCAAGAAAGCTGAATGGAGTTGTCCAAACTGATTTGAAGGCTCCACAAAATAATAATAATAATAATAATAATAATAATAGATGATGATGATGATGATGATGATGATGATAAAGGCACTGAAAATAATTCTTTAAAATAATTCTAAATTGTTCAAATGAGGCTGCTGGAAATGTTAGCATCTTTGATGGTTGCAGGGACAAAGCAGTGCCAGTTTACAAAAAGTTTGTACACACTGCATTTTTCGAAGCCAGCTTAGCACGATGGTGTACAAAAATGCAGAACTACACTACCGTGGAAAGGAGTATTTTGTAGGAGATAGAGACTACATTTTAAAAAGCAACACATATGCCTTTCTAGGGGCAGGGCGGCCGCTAGAAATAATTGGTCCCTGCCACCAATTCTGCTCACCCCCACTCCGCTCATTTGTCACCCCTGCCAGCGCTGGGGGGTAGTATAGGCTGCGGTAAAAGGCTGCGCTACATCGAGCAGCACGCGTGAGAAGCCAGGGCCAGGCTGATCCCGTACAGTAGCAGTGAGCTTCTAGCCAGCAATCACGCCCCGTGCTGTCTCGCCGCCGCCGCCGCCTCCTCTCCCCGCTGATGGGGGCAATCGATCGGACACCCCTGCTCGGGATGCGGTGGTCCAGTCCCGCCCGCAGTTGCTGTTGGCTTTATCTAAGTCAGCAGAGGGCGCTCCATGCTGAGCAGAGGGGTGGGTTTAGGGGCGGAGGGCCGAGTATGAGGTAATGGTGGGAGGAGCCAGGGGAGGGAGCGCGAGACGTCGCGTTCCTGGGGCAGCTCGTGCTGCGGCTTCTCTTCCAAATCCTTGCAAATGCAGGGAAGTTGTAACGGCGGGCGAGGCTACAAGGGGCAGGAGACAGGAGCTTGGGCTGCGTGCAATGGGTTGTTTCTTAGCTGAGGGCAGGGGGCAACGCGCCGGGCGGAGATTTGCATTTCTCCTGCTGTGTCGAGAAAAACCCACTCACCCAGATTCCTCATAGAAAGAAGAAGGCATAAAAGCAACAGGGAGGTGGAGCTGGAGCGATTGCTGCATCTGCTGCACAGGGAAGCGGGGGGGACCCAAAAACTAGAGCATGAAATTCCTAGAAGGGTTTGTCCAAAAGAACCCCTCGTGCAACTGCAGAGAAAAGGGGAAAAAGAGTAGGAGTATATGCAACTGGTGCAACTGAGTCACCCTTCTGCCGTAGCAATAGGCAAATTCCCCTCCGAGACACTTTACGGAGCAAATGACGGAACCTGCTTTTCCAGCTTGCTGACTGGACGGGTTTTCTTGTTAATTTTTAAATGCATGCGTTTCACAGGCAACGAGGCAAGACTACTGAATTTGGTTGGAAATATGAAAGCTTTAGAAGGCTTTTAAGTCTCTTTCCATGAAATAGTACCCCAAAGACTTGATTTTTTTACCCGACAAGATCCAAAATCCTAGCTGCACAAAAGCGGGCGAGAGAAAGAAACAATTCAAAAAAAGAAAATCTGGAACGGGTCCAAGGAGCGAGCAGCCAGCCAGCCCGTAGGCGTGACGTTGCAGAGTTTAAAGGGGGTAGATGAGACCCGTCGGACGCTGATCGGACGAAGAGGGGTGCCGGAGGTGCCTGGACTCGGTGGCTCTCTTGGAAGAGACCGCTGAAGAGCAAGGGCAAAGAAATGCTGCTGGCTTCCGCCGTTGTGGTCTGGGAATGGCTGAACGAGCACGGTCGCTGGAGACCCTACAGTGCGGCCGTGAGCCACCACATCGAGGCGGTGATCAGGGCCGGGCCGAGAGCTGGGGGGAGCGTCGTTCTGGGCCAGGTGGACAACAGGCTCTCGCCGTATATCATTGATCTCCAGTCCATGCACCAGTTCCGCCAGGACACGGGTGAGTTTGGCCCCGCATCTTCCCGGCGCCTCCCCGACCACGTTGCTGCGATTTTGTCCCTTCCTGTCCGGACCCATCTCCCTGGTCATAGGTCCTTTCCCTGTCGTGATCGGCGACCAAAGGAGGGGCGTATCTTCGTTTGGGAGACCTTTTTTTTTAATAAAAAAAACAAGGCATATAAAAAGTCCGCCGGGATTAAGTTTCATTGCGATTGCACAGCCCCATTTTATTAAACATTGGCATTTGGGGGAGTTCTGATATGCAGAGAGGGAAATGAGATGGGACAGGACAGGACAGGGGGAGATTTATGGGAATATTGAGATTTGGCAATTCTAGAAAAGGATTTGGAGATGGAATACGGTGGAGCTGACATCATGTACTACGAGCTCCCAAATCCTGTTGCCATTGCCAAAAAAAAGGAAGGTGGGGAGGGGAGCTTAAGTAGATGGGCTTCTTTGGGATGAAAAAGACAAATAGTTCTCTCAGTATTTGTCTTTCCAATTCTTTATACTGGGCAAACCCTGTCTCTGCTTAATAGTGGTGCCTGTTGTAGCGTGTACAAGTTCAGATAACACTGTTCTGCAGTGAACATGTCAGTGTTCTCAAATGCCTGGTAAAGGTGTGTGAGCAACCATATATTTGTTCACCTGCAAGGAGCAGAATATGCAGATGTGAAATGTCAAAGGCTAGTGTGAAAAGAGGTACTTGGAACCAGTGCTCCTTTGGAAGTTACTACCAAGTAAACCTGCATAGAATTTGGCTGTGTGTGTCTTATACCATGAGGCAAAATACAGCTGTGTGTATATGTGCCAGAAGAGGAGCATGAAAAAAAACGCTTGGTAAATAATATGTGGTATTATGTAATGTGGTATGATTTTGTAGAAGTTCAAGCAGCAAATCAAACCTGCAGTTTAAACAGAGACTCCTGGACACATTTTGAGGAATATTGCATAAATATGAATAAAAAGCTTTGTGACTCTACTTTTATTTTATTAACTGATCTGAGGTAAATTAACACACACATACTGCTGAAACTATAATCACGGGCTGAAAGGCAGGATCAACGAATTGCTTACCAAGAGAGGTTGAGAATAAAGATGAGTAAAAGGTTGCTATAGAAGAGCAACAGATCCAGCTGATATTATCCTGGATGTGTATTTTTGAAGGTACTTATCTTACTTCTCCCTTAAACTTTGTAGAAACAGAGAGAGGGGAGGGACCGATTTCTGTGGGTTAGTGTGAGTTACAGGTAGGTTTTTTCTAGAATTATTGTTGATTCATAACTAGACCCATATGCTGACGTCTAATATTCTGCATGGAGATTGTCAAGTAGAAGAAAAATGGGCTGTCAGCTGGGAAAACCGAAAGAAAACCCCAAGCTAAAATGATAGCAACTATTTGGGTGATATTGTGAAAATCACGCCAGGAGTTGAAGGTCTGGAGACTGGTGGAGTGTGGGCAGTGCGTGGTTGCTCCCCCCCCCCCCCCTCCCCCTCCCCCTCCC